TGAAAGACAGCATGACAAATTTAAGTAAATGCAGGTCAGTATGGCTAAAGCAGAGTTAGAAAGAGAGAAAACCGGATGTATGCACATGCCAGATTACATAATACTTTGAAGGATCCTGGTCATTATCCTAAGAGAAATTAGAACTCTTTAGAGATTTTAAGAAGGTAAGTGGTATGATCAGATTTGCATTTGTATAAAATCACTGGCAACAATATGAAGAATGGGCTGGAGGAGAGCAAGAGGAACCACAAGACAGGTTAGGATGCCTAGATCCAGAGAGTAAACGAGGGCAACCTGGCTTAGTGTAAGAGAAGCAGACAGATTTGAAAGATATTTATAATGTAAACATGTAGTGATTAAGGGAAAGGGGGGCTCAAAATGACTCTGAGGCTTCTGCCTTGGCAAATCTGAGACAGAGACCAGAGAAGAAAGAAGCAGATGGCATAATAACTTCGGCAGGGAGCTATTTGCACTCTTAACCAATACCCAAAGCAGCGCACAAGGATTAGGAATGTTGCTGAGGGCTACAGGACTGTGTTTCCCCATCCACAGCCAACCGCGGTTCACAATCCAACACAGTAAACAGGTTCTAAATGAACGCTCTCCAATAACACGATTGCTCTCTTCATAGATGCATCTACTTGACGCAGGTGTCTTGTCAGACTCTCGTCACTCCACTCAAAAGCGTACGTTACTCTACGGCTACGAAAAACTCTACTCCTCCCTATTAGGCATCATCTCGGCTACGAAACCTTGCCGGTCTCAGGCTGGGGTGCTGCTGCTTCTGTGAATCCATCACTTCTGCGACCGACTCCAATACGGAAAAGCTCGCTTAGTAGCTTTCTTTTTTATTTGTCTATCTTCCCTGGAACCTGTACTCCGCAGGGCAAGGCGGCCTCTTTCACTGTGGTATCCCCAGCACCTAACACAGTGGCCGACACAGAGCAGATACTCAGTTAAAAGAGTTGAGTGAATGAATTGACGAACAAATGCCTCCTGGGTGCGCCCCGTCCCAAAGAAAATCCCACCCCCAGACCTCGCGAGCCTTGACGTCTCCTCCTTTCACACACACCAGCCTCGGCCAAGCGCACCTGGGTTACGAACTCCGCGTTGATCTGGGACACCGTAGGAGCCACGATTTTCTTGGGCTGAGCAGGGGCCGCCATGGCAGCACTCTCACTCCGCTCCAGTGGAAAGGAAAGGTCCCCTCGGGGTAGCGGTGAACGTGATGCACTTCCCCTAACAGGCAGCTCTTGCTGCCCAACTCCGCGAAGCAGGAGCCCGCGGGCCGGGATATCCTCAGCCTTCACAGTCTCAGAGGTGCGCGTACAGCAGCCCGTACATCTTCCCGGAAGCGGAACGGAAGAGTGCCGGAAGTTCATGCAGGCGTTGGGTCTGAGCTACAGACTGCAAGGGCTTCGGCCTCCTCCGCATACGTCCCCTAGCGGGAAGCTGAAAGAACGCACCCAGCAGTCCGAATCGAGTCTCAAGGATTCGGCAGGTAGGTGAGAGTTCTGCAGGTAAAATTGCCCGGGTGGGGGAGACTTGGTGGTTCTCTCAAACCTAAAAAAAGCGGTAGTGAAAAAAACATAGGCTGGGTATGGGGGGCTCGGTTTTAAATGTTTTCTTAACAGATTCATGGAGGTATAGGTTGACATACAATGAACTGCATGTACATATTTGGAGTGTAAAATTTGATCCGTTTTCAGTCGTACATTCGTGAAACCATCACCAAAATCGGGATAATAAGCATACTCAACGCCCCGAAAAGTTTCCTCATGCCTTTTGCAATCCATCCCTATTGCCCTGCTAGGGAAAAAAGGGGCTACTAGGTAAAAAGGGGCTGACAGGTTAGTGAGTGAAGAGGCAATGGACAAAGTAGGTGTAAAATGCATTTTCAGCATAAAAGAAAGATACAACAGTAACCAGAATAACAGGTAGAATTCAAGTTGTGCGTCTCAACTGTTATCTCTTTTTACGCTAGGTGCAGTGGAAATTTTTTTTTTTTGCCTATCCTCCCTTCTTTCCAAACACAACTTCAATTTTAACCTAACAGCTAACCTGCATAAATGCAAATTCTTGGACCCAACACCAGACATGAGAGAAACTCTGAGGATGTGACTTAGCTATCTATGCTTCTAACAAACCCTCTATATGATTCCAGTGCAAACTAAAGTTTGAAAATCACTGATCAACAGTGACAACAAAGTTAGGAACAAAAAGCAGTGGGAGCACAGGGAATGGCTTGTTTGGGTAAATCAGAAAGGCTTCCAGAGGAAGTAGTACTTAAGCTCAAACTCAAAGGGTGCCTGGGTGGCTCAGATGGTTAAGCGTCTGCCTTCGGCTCAGGTCATGATCCCAGAGTCCTGGGATCAAGTCCTGCATTGGGCTCCCTGCTCCTTGGGAGCCTGCTTCTCCCTCGGCCTCTCTCTCTCATGAATAAGTAAATAAAATCTTAAAAAAAAAAAAGGAATAGAAATTTGCCAGTGTAGGTGCAAAATATTATGTGTTCCATATTCCTTTAATAATACCATTGTGCCACTTCTCTTTTTTTTCTCTTAATGCTAATAGAACTCTAGCAGTTAGCCCTGAAATTTAAGTCCTTCTAACCAATAGAAAGCAATAGAAAGCTCAAGATAGGAATTAAATGTTCTTTCCCTGCTTCTAAAAAGCAGATATTCTGTATCGCCGAACAGTCCTTGAGGCACGTGGCTGGCTCAGTAGGTGGAGCCTGAACTTTTGATCTCAGAGCCATGAGTTCAAGCCCCCACGTTCAGTGTAGAGATTACTAAGAAACAAACAACAAACAGAAAATGCAAAAATGGGTTATCTAACATAACATGTAAATTGAAATGTTTTGGGGGCCTGGCTGGCTCAGTCAGTAGAACATGTGACTCTTGATCTCAGGGTTCTGAGTTAAAGCTCCACGTTGGGATAGAGATTACGTTAAAAAAATAAATAAGTAAAAAACCAATTCATCATTTAAAAAAAATGTTTTCTGCAAGCCAGTTTTAAACACTTTAGTTTTTTCCCATAATCGTGAAAAACCAAATAAAATCTGGCTCATCTAAATTTCTTCTTTGAACTAAGAGTGTTGAAGTCTGTATCTAATTTAAAATAATAGTAGGTAGACAAGATGGAGACAAGAATAGCAAGAATATGCATGGGAGGAATTAATTCTGTATTTCTTTAGCACAAATCTGGAGAAAGGCCAAAGAGGAAGATAAATGGGTAAGCAGGTAGATCATGTCACATGTAATGCAGTTAACATCCTTTTGTAGGTGATAAGAAACTATCAAAGCAATGTACTAAAAAGGAAAAGTAAAAAATAAATAAGTAAAAAGGAGATGATTAAATATCCATGTTAGGAAATTCAGTGTAGAAGGTGGATTGGAATGCGCCCAGGAAAGTGTTTGGCCATCAGTACCTTGTTCCAGTATTACGTGATTTTTACCTTCTATTTAAAAAAAAAAAAAAAATAGTCCAAACTGTGTAATTTGAAAGTTTATTTTTAAAATATTCTGAAATTTAAATTCTTCAAGACTTAACCACCATCCACTTTCCTTCAACACACACACATTTTGTCCTAAAATTGTTGGCCCTACCGCAGTACAAAACAAGAAACAATAAATCCACTAACTCAGCCAATGAAACTACTTCAGTAAGTAATCATGCTACAGCCTGGAATCACCCAAACAAAAAATTTTAATAAATCTCTTTAAAGATATTTATAAAGATTATTTTTTTCAGAAAACCAAAGTAATTGATTCAACAACACTAACAGTTCTAGCATGCAGCAAATCATCATTTAACATCTAATGTTTAATTTTCTTATCATGGATGTATACAGTTTATTCTCATTCCTATAAAGTTTCCACAAGAAGCTTGCAGTGATAAAGGAAAATAAGGATTTTGTTACAGGTACTTCAAATAGCACTACAGTACATCTTTGACAAAATTTTTACAATTATTCCAACTTTCAATATGAAACAGCTTAAAAAGGCATGGGCCAAAAAAAAAGTATAGTAGTATCACTTAAGCAAATAAAGTCTAATAATCATACAAGCACAACACTGTTAGGACTCTCCCTGTTTGGGGTGGGAAAGGACTAAATGAGACATTTGCTTCAAATAAAATTACATAAATAGCTTTGGAAAATCCCCAAATACACAATTTCAAACAAAAAATCCTTGAACCTATATTCTTGGAAAATATGAGCTAATTATTCCTTGCTTTTATGTAACAGGTATGTTCTTGAAAAGTTTTGTGTAAGGCAAATTCTATAAACCCTCATCTTTCTTGCATTGGAGGAACATATCTGGAGGAAACCTAAGAGAAATTATTCTCTAAAACATGATTCTCCTGCACATTTATACATCATTGGGCATTTTATCTTTACTGTAACATTTTATCTCTGTATATTAAACCCGTTTCTCAAAATGCACTTGAAAAAGAAGATACCAACCTCTCCTCCCCCCTCCTCCTATACAATTTCTTAGAGTATGACAAAGACTTAAAATGCAAAGAATGTTTATTATTCACTTTCAACAGAGGGCTTGTCACTATATTTAGGTGTGCTAAGAAAAACACCGACCTGTTCTTCTCTTAAAAGATAATGGTTATTTTATTACTAAGAAATGTCATTCTTAAAGATTTTATTAAAAAATGGCAAATACAAAGGACAATTTGTGATTCTTTTATAGCTTAAGATTCCCAATATTTCCCTATGATGACAGTGCTGTTGAGAAGAATGATACCCTCAATTCCATAAACACTTTATTCCTAAATGGGAATAATTACCTTACTATTCAAAACAATTTGCTAAGGATCAAAATATTCTTTAGCATTAGAGTCTTGCAAGAAACATAGAATTCAAAACTAGAACTAGACCTAGTCATTGCCATTTGATCAAACTTAACAGATAGATTTAGTTAAGTCACAGGACCACTCAATTCAAGAGGCATTAAAACCAAGTTTTACTGAAGTAAAATAGAAGTCTTGTGGAGATGCAGATCTATAGGTGAGTCTTAAGTCTATACAACTACTGTTGTCAATCATTTAGTAAATAGATGAATTTCATTTATTCCTCTGAAAAGATAATACTGCATACATATCATCAAAAAGATTATGGCACTTGGACAATATTTCTGATAAGTAAACATGATAAATGTATACAGGTGCATCCTAGGCTCTCTCCTACTTTCAGATCTTTTGGGAAAGATAACAACAGGCTGGGCAAAAAACCAACTCTAATACCCTGTGGAAAAGGAGGTGAAGCTACCAGAGTCCTAAGAATAAATAGCTTGCAAAAGACCAATGAAAATAATGCTGTGATTTTCTCATCCATTTTCGCTTCTACTGCCTTCACAGTTTTTAAACTTACAAGAAAAAATTTTGCAATGGAATTTGAGCCACAGGTGGACAAAATTATGCTTTCATGTGAAACAAAATAAATAAAATGTAGTGAGGCTATTTGCTGCAGCCAAAACCCAATTTTTACCTCTGTCTTTTGAGTATATTTAAAAGGAGACGGCAGACATTAAGAATTCTTTTAAAAAATAATGAATGAACTGAGTTATTGTACCGCATCATGGATTTACATTTTCAATACAGCCAAAATAAGTATTAAAATAAAATAAATGCTTACTGTATGGCATCAAACCATGTTCTTCCCCCTAAAAATTAATTTGGCTGTTCCTAAAACATTGTATTAATTTTCTATGTATCTTGGCTCTTACTTGCAGGACAAGCAACTGCCTATGAAATCACTCAACCTAAGGAAGGCATTTTAATGAAAATACATCTAAATGATATAGGCTTTAAGAACAAGATCACCAGAGAGACCACAAATGTGTTACTGGTTCTGTCAGTTACATAACTGAATTTGAGAACCACTTTATCTTGTGGTTGGTCATTCCTTAAAGTGAGTAAGTTGATGTCTCTTCCAGTGAGGAGCCTGTCTGAATGTTTTGCCACAAACTGAGCATTCAAATGGCTTCTGCCCTGCATGAATTAGATAGTGTCTTTCCAGTTTAGATGGAGATCTAAAACTTTTGGAACAAACGCTGCATTGGTAAAGAAGGCCATCATTCCTTTCTGCACGCCCTGAATAACCACAACAGTGACTGTGTTGGCTCTGCTCTGATTGCAGAAGTGCACTAGAGAGATAAGGCTGCCTGTTCCTATAGGGGGTACTGAGAATGAAATCCTCTGATTCTGCCTTAACTTTTATATCTGATATTTGATCTGACTCTGAGACCTCATATTTTTGGAAACCAAGAGTCTGACATTGTTGGGAAGCATTATAGTTAACATTATCACCTGGATGAATGAGAAGTTGGTTCAAATTTTCAAATTCTTGGCAAAGAGATCTTCTATAAGGTATCTTATCAATATGAGTTAATTTGTGTCTTTTTAAGTGAGCTGACTGTCTAAAAGATTTCCCACAAACATTACAGCCAAATGGCCTCTGTCCAGTATGAATTAAATAGTGTCTTTGTAGTTTGGAAATAGAAGGAAACACTTTCTCACATTTGTCACAAGGACACATCTTATGTCCAGTATGGATGTTTTCACTTGGAACTGAAAAACCACACTGAAGCACTTCACAGTTATCAAAAAATTCCTCACCTGATGAACCATAGATAGATACATCTTTATTATTCACTGAATTATCTGTAGTTAACATGTTTTCTGTTGTAAGGATACCTTTCAAGTTTTTACCCATATTTTGGCTCTGGAAGTGCTTCTGCCAAGAAAATGGCAAACTCAATGTTTTCTTCTTTTTATTGCCAACTGTCTTATATGTTCCATGTTTGCCAAGAGAACCCATAAATGTTCTCTGGGCTTGTTCAGGGCTCTGCTCACCAGAAATAAGATCACAATTTTTCAAGAAATTATTTTTAAATACTTTTTTCTCAGATCGAAAATTATCTAATTTCTTACCCCCAGCACGTTTAAGTTTAGCCAAGATTTTTTTCACAATGGTTTTATAGTTGTAGCTTCTTTTGAGCCTGCTTGGAATTTTGCCACCTCTGGCAGGAAAACACTTATGTCCATTGAGAATCTGCTCTGATTCAAAACACTCTTCACACTCTGGACACTGAAAAGGGACGATATAAATAGAGTGGACATCAAGTTGATTATTCTCCTCAGATTCACCTATATCACCATTTTCAAAACCATCCTCCTTTGCATTTAACTTATTAGGCAGGGGGCATGATTCTGGACTCTTTACCTTCAATGAAAGAGTCTGAAAGGTCTTATTCCTGGTATGGATTTGTTTATGCTTCAGAAGTTTGCTTTGAATCTTAAATCCTTTTTGACAAAAACAACATTGAAAAGGTCTTTCTTCTGAATGTGTGAGTTGATGAATTTTTAAATGAGTTGACTGTCGGAAGGATTTACTGCACAAGACACACTTAAAAGGCCTCTGACCAGTATGAATAAGTGCATGCCTATCCAGTTTTGATTGTGATGGAAACATCTTGCCACAGATTGTACAAGCGTGAATATTCTTTCTTTTCTTTGTAGGGCTGTACATAGGATCAGACTTAGAGCATGGATGTAATGCCCATCTTTCCTCTGTGGTAAAAGTATGAAACATCCCATATACTGGCTTTTCTTGCTTGGCCTCCAACAATCTTCTGACCTGTTTAACATCATTCTGGTAGGTTTCATTGTGAAGTTGTTGGTGCTTCACAAATGTCTTCAGATTTTTAAAGTGGCGTTGACAAATGCTACATTTAAAAGGCAGATTATGAGTTAGTTGATGTCTCTCCAGATGAACCAGTTGCCTAAAGGTTTTATGACATACATCACATTCAAATGGTTTTTGACCAGTATGAATGAGATAATGCCTAGCTAATTTTGATGGTGTTTCAAAGTGCTTGAAGCAAATATTGCAAATATATGGCCTGTTTCTAGGTAGTTTGTTGGCTACTACACACTGTTGAATCTTTAGCATTTTTAAATTGTTTTCAGCCATCATATTCTTCAGTGATATACTCTGATGAACTCCATGTTCTTAAACTCCACAGATGTCTAAAAATTAAAAATAAAAATGTATTAATTTAAAAATTATTTATTCATATGAAAAGAAATAATTAAGTTGTCCTTTGGTTAAAGATATTAAGGGTATAGGGGAACCTGGACTTTTTCTATGTTTAAAAGTAAGTTAATAATCATTTTAGATGAATACTTCAGAATCATAAAACTAACTTCACACATAGAAATGGTGAGTCTTTAAAAGAAATTTCTAGGGATGCCTGGCTGGCTCAGTCAGTAGAGCATATGACTCTTGATCTCAGGATCAGGAGTTCAAGCTTCATGTGGGGTGTAGAGCTTACTTTAAAAAAAAAAAAAAGCCAAAATAAAATAAAAAAATAAATCTCTAAAAACCTATATAATTTTAAGCTATATTTCTAATTGAGATAATACATTAAAAGGAGGATAAGTTGAATTTCTTAACATTAGACCTTTTAATTCCAATTTTCCTAGTTCTCTATTAAGTAGTGTCATCAATATTTAGTTGCTTTGTCATTATTTATTTATTTATTCATTTTTAAGAGAAAGAGAACCCATGTGTGAGTCAGGGTGGAGAGGGGCAGTGGGAGAGGAAGAGAATCTTAGCAGGCTCCACCCTCAGCACAGAGCCCGATGTGGAGCTCCACCTCATGACCCTGAAATCATGACCTGAGCCGAAATCAAGTTGGATGCTCGACTAAGCCACCCAGGTGTCCCGCTTTGTCTTTTTTAAAAAATTAGGCTAGAAAGGTTAGAAAGTGTAAGAATTAAAATATAGAACTAAAAATAAGATATATTTGCATTTAATTATAGCATACCATGGGTGTGATCTGAGAGAATGTTTGTTACCAAGGTTGGATTTTTTAGCCACATCATTAACAGTATTTACTTTTAATTACTTCTTTGGATCAACAAAGACAACATGGACAACTGGGAGAAAATGCGCCAGATAACCTAGTCCCAATTTGCTACCATATGATCTCAGTGGCAGAAAAAAGGAAATAGATTGTTCATCTCTAGGCCTCCTGGCTGCCTACCACATCAAGTTGTGAGAATCAATGGAAATAACGCATCTAAATGTGTTGGAAAACTATGAAGCAATATACAAATGGGAGGTATTACTTAGCTCCACACTAATCAAATTTTAGAACTTTATCCTTGTCTACATAATACATATTTTAGGGTTTCTAACTAAGAAATAAACATACTAACTAAATTTATAGTTCTTTGTATTTCTTCTTTGCATTTTGTTGTGGAATTCCTAAAAGACAAGCACAGAGTCGATGCGGCAAATTGGCTACTTATATTCTTATTGATGGCTAAGTAACTGAAAGTTAAGTGTGGTTCACTTTTCAGACAATATAATAAAAGGATCATTTTGGTCTTGGAGTTAATATAAAGATAAATCTGCTTTTGCTAATATAACTCTGTAGGAAACATGCATAAGTTTACTAGGTATTTTCACAAAAACTGTATACCCTACCTTCTCATTTATCAGAGAAACCAATTTTCTACAATTTTCTTCTCATCCTACTATTACATTTACTTTAAATAAAGGAGTCAGAGATTAAAAAAAAAAAAAAGCTGCTCTACCTCTCTGATTCTAATGTTGTATCTTCTAGTTGAGATCAGAAAGTTGATAAATCTACCAGAAACTCTGTGTTCTTTTGTCAGCTAATTTGGTGAACGTCCAACATATACGCTATTTGCTATTTACTGTTTTCTCCTAGAAGACACCTTAAACACAAAATCACAAACACATCCACTGTGGTTCTTTTCAGCAATGTGAATTAGAAACAAAAACATTCATTTATTGAACAAGTATCTTCTATTAGTTGCTTTATCATAGTGGTTTTCAGTGTTTGAAAAACAACTGCATGTTGCTACCATTAATGCATTGTGAAATCAATTTAGTGGGTCATGATCACCAGTTTTGTTTAATAAAGAGTAGTAAATACCAGATTGCATTACATAAAGATGAAAACTATTTTGTGAAACTTCTGTTGAAAGAGGTAAGAAAGTTGTGAAAGCTGTTCCTGGTGTATCTCTTCACAAAACACTAGACAGAGGAACCCACAACAAATTAATCACTTTATTCAAAGTAACCAAGTAATCCATTAGGTAAGATTGGGGCCCATAGGATGAAACAGGATTACTAATGAAAGCAACAGTATCTAATTTTCACTTGGCCCATATAACCCCAAAATATTTACTAAAAAATGTAATTAGAGGCCAAATGGATATGCCACACAAGTCTATGTAAAATAAAAGAATATGACTGCAAGCCACTATATTAATTTACAAAATATACCATATAACCCAGATATCCATGTTAGCAACAATCAACTGTTGGTGCTATTCATATGTATTTTCACTACACTGAGAGAAATTACTGGTGAACAACTTCCAGACCCCTAAACATGCTAAACACACCAATGGTTATGAGGATTAAAATTATGAATCCATTAAATTGCCAAGAACTTGGCAACTTATTTCATTCCTGTCAAGCTATCGGGTGTTGAGGTGGTCAATTAGGACAACGAGCCAAAATGTAAATAATAATCAAGGCTTTATTCACTTAACTGCCATAGTGCAAGCATGAGGCAAAACAAGGACTGGCTCCCCAGGGTCCATTACACAGAACTACACTAGGTGAGGATCAGATGGATGCAGGGCACACAATCATCTCCCTGCAGAGGAGGCCAGAACAAAAGGCTTCTGCCTCTTTATGGACCTGTGGGCCAGGGGAAGAGGAAGGAAGGGCTAGGAGTGGAAAGGTCCTGAGTTAAAACCGAGAAAAATACCTCAAGCAAGCCCCTCCCCCCACCCACCCAAGGAGGTCTTGGTAGAGATGGAGGGGCCTGGGAAGTACCCCTGCCAAGATCTTCTGAATGGAGGTAACTGAGCCAACAATGCAATCTAGTATAAGCATGGGTAGCAGGAGGGAAGGGGTGAGTCCTTGATTGCAGCTCCCTCCAGAAAACTGCAATGCACTGGCCATGCACAAGTCTGGTGTGGGGAGGGCAAGTTTCCCCCATAAGGCTGGCCAGCCAAAGCCACGAAATTATCTAGTCAGGCCTGAAAGATCACACAAAGGATTTTGGCCTGTAGCCGACCTCAATTCCTACTGTATATTTTTCCTTCTTTTTAACAGTTTCTATGGAATACTCTTGAAAGAAGTCCCAGACTAGAACCACATACCACAACCATCTCTGATTATAACAGGAATTGACTACCCATAGTTCCTGTGCCAAAAATTGTCTATGGCTGATCAACTACCACTAGCACTAAGACTGGATACTATTGTCATTTGCCTTCACACCAGGTGGGAAAGCACTTACTGGGAGCCCTGTAATTGCTAGAACCACTGGTGGCAACAAGTGATCTCATCTGCTATTTATAAGCGATAGCTCAGGGATCCCCAGTGCTCCAAGTGCAGTCCCATATGTACTTCTACAGCGTGCACATTAATTTGATAGAGCTCCAACTCCCACTTCAACTGATTCTCTGTGTTCTCAATTGATCTTTTGTTATTGGTAATATTAAAACAAACAAAAAAACCAAAACAAACCCAACACCGTGTACTTTTTCCTGTGAAACTGAAAATGAAAAGTAAAATTGCAAATCTCAGTGGTTCTACCTGAAGATTATTCTGACAACTGCAAGATACACTCTGTTGGAATATTGTAAAAACCGATTTTAAAAAATTCCAATGGCGCTTCAAGGCTGAAAGCCTGTTGGTTTTTTACTAACACCATAAAAGCGGAGTGAGGACATCACAAAAGCAAATGAACAAGAGACGAACGACCTGAGAGAAACTTGGACCACTTCCAGCTGGGGAATAATCTCTGGCGACATTTATCACAGTCTTTCCTTCTTGGTGGCTGCGTCTGCCCCACTTCCCCTGGCCCACGCTCTCGTCCCAGAGGGGCTGCAATGGACAGAGGGCCCTGACGTCCTGCCGTTGCCCTCATCGCCCACAACCAATAAGCACCTAGAGGGTCGAGCCGAGTCCAGAGACTGCAAAATCCCACACCAGGAAAGGAAGGGCAAGAGTGAAAATGGCTTTGACGGCAGCCAGGGGGGGAAATGCCCCATGGGATTCGACCCACAGCAGAGGAAAAGCATCCTTTCTGTGCCTTCCTCTCAGAGGTTGCCGCTCCCCAAGAGACGCAGTCGGGAGGCGGGGAACTGGAAAAGGAATGGGAGCCGAGGTCGTGGCGCCTCCGCTATGGGTCCCCGGGCACCTTGGAGGGATCGAGGCAGGCCCGACCCTTCCCGGGGATCGCTCCACCTCACACACGGATTCCTCAGGTCCTCCTCACGCACCTGGAGCTGGCACGGACCCAGCAGAGACACATCTCAGGGCCCAGGCGCCGCGAAGGCAGCGAGCGCACGTCCGCAGGGCTGGCGCGGCGATGGGTTGAGCGCGCAGGCGCAGCGCTCCGGAGCGCCCAGGGACGCGGTCCGGCTGGAAACAGGCTCCCCCCCCACCCCAGGGCCGCCGTCGCTTAGGCTCGGTGGGCAAGACGGCAGTGAAAGGGGGGGGGGCTCCAGAGGTTGGTCCCCACCCCTAGCGCCGCTCACCTCGCCCTGCAGTTTCGCGGGGAAGAGAATAGAGGAGTGAAGAAGGCTGTTTCTTCAGAATGCTGACAATTAGATGAGATGGATGTAAAGTGCTCAACATAGTGCCCAGAGCCTAGTAAGCCCTGAAGGGCTTCATCATTTATTACTCTTTTTATATTACATACAACTTTATGAAGTGATGGGATCTCATTTTAAAATGAGGAAAAGGAGATTGAGGCGTTAAGAAACTCAGTGTCACACGGCTGATAGACGATGGAGGTGGGATTTGAACGCAGGCGTCTAGTACCAGACCTGCACTTTTAATTCGCTACTTCTTCCTAAATTATAGATATCTCAGTATTTTATGTGGACACTATTAAGGCTTAAACGTTGTAGTCCAGTTACAGACGTGGGTGACACATTATTAGGTATAAGATGCTTAGGTATCTACCGAAGATTTTAAGTACAAAAAACAGTGGAAAGTTATTGTAGATTTTTGCAGGTTCTGATTTTAACTGTCTCAGCTTGAGCGATGAGGACATGAGAACAGGTAACAAGCACATTTTCTTTCAACTGTAAGTAACTTTTTGCATTACTTGTCAAGGACCACTGACAACAAAAATTATTTCTAATGTTGGTATACATTCCTCTGTTTAAAAAGGAAAAGGTTGGTCCAATGAAAAGTCATTCTCTATTTTCCATGTGGCAACATGAGGAAATGACTAGTAGGACATAAGCTTTGGCTTTTATTTTGTAGCAAGCTTGGAGGAGTCACGTTTGGGGAAGGTTGAAGCCCTTACTTCCAACAGAAGCAGAGATAGAGAGAGGAGGGAAAGAGCTTCCGTGTCTTAAGTGTTAACCTCAGGGTAGGGACTCTATGTGTTCAGATAACCGTTGAAGACTTGCTCTCTTCTGCAGCTTCTCCTGGGAACTCAGCCCAACCAAATCATGCAAACAATTGCATCCATCACCAGCCACATAAATCCTCCGGAAAGATACGCAGACCATAAGAGAATATCACCTGAGGTTGGGAACCAATGGAGGGTGCATTACCTGCAAAATAAGTAGGCCTTTGCACCAAGAGCCTGAATTTGGAGTGTGGAACATAGATGAGACATGGATAAGTTATTCTCCAAGGCCACATACCCTACCTCATAGCCTTCCCCATTCACCCTGAAAGTCATCTCAGGAGCCTTCTCGGGGGGAAAAAGGGGGGGTAGAGATTACTGTAAGTCATCAGGAAGATTTCACTGAATAGGTGAGATTTGAATGGGGACTTAGCAGTGGTTTCAATATGGATAAACAGAAAATGTGGAGGGCAGGCTAGAACATTGTAGGGAGAGATGGTAGTAGTGATAAGGAAAAATAAAGGAACAGTGTGGCATATATCTTACCTCTGCAACTTACTAGTGTGTGTCCTTAAAAGTTATTTAAACTTTCTGAATCTCAGTTTCCTCATCCTCAAAATGGGGATATAATTAATCATTCATTCAATGGCCTGTCATGTACAAAGTACAAAGGATTCCCTTGTAAGCATGTGAAGATGAAACGGTGAGGGCCCTGACTTCAATGTAGTTTTCAGCTCAGAAAAACATGCAAAGAAGTATAATATGATAAAAGAAGATATGTACGGGGCAGCAGTGGGGAGGAGGAGTGTCTAAATCTGCCTGGGACTTCAGGTGGAGATTGTCTTTGAGCTGAGGCATTAATTATCCATCCACCCATCCATCCATCCTACATATATTTTAAGCACTTGCTATGTGCCAAGCCCTGTTCTACATTACTGGAGATAGAGTAGAGGACAAATTAAAAAGTCAACAATTCCTGTCTTCATAGATTTTTCATTTATAGTTTTTTATATATTTATATGCCTACGGAGGGAGACAGACAATAAACTAAATAAGGAAAATATATCATATCTAATATGTAAAATAAGCACAGAAGGGGGCTATGAAGATTTGGGTGGGAGGGCTTGTCGGCATTTTAGTAGATAGCCGGGGATGACCTTACTGAGCAGTTCTGTGATTTTTGAGTGGAGCCTGATAGAAATGAGAGAGCCAGGCCTCCTTATTTATGCTTCACGTTTAGAGCACGTACTGCTCACCAGGCACTTTGCAAGAAGCTGAGAAAAGCCTTAAATGCCTTGCAGAGGTTTTCTTTTTTTCTTCTTTATTTTAATCCTGTAGGCAATAGGAGATTATTGAAGAATTTTGATCACAGGTATGGCAAGCTTCCATTTGTGTCATAGAAAATTCACTCAGAAGTAAAATGGATGACAAAACAGCGGTGGCAAGATTAGAATAGCCACGTTGTCAGCTAGGGGCTTCCTACTCCTTGAATATCTGGTTAACTTGGATGAAAATCCAGTTCTGTGGCCTGTGACAGTCTTCATGATACCTGTTCTCACAGTTTGCTTCTAGTGTATATGTGTCCTCCTCAGTAGTTCTTAACCTTTAGGGCTATCTACCTCCTTTTTAGCAACAACACATTGAATGTAGAACTTAGCTTCCTTGTCAGTTTCTAGAAAAATATCCAGTCATACTGGTGTGTGTGTGTGTGTGTGTGTGTATGACAGAAAGAGAGAGAGGGAGAGAGAATACTTTACTGAAGATTCAAGGGTCACTAGGGGATAGGGTTTCAACTGAAAAGATGTGGGGCCTGGAAACAACTCAGCCAGTACCAAGTGCATCCAAGAAAATTGCGCTTGAAAGGAGTCCACGCTTTGAGCATCTTTCATATGTCTTTGGAATATTTTAAAGGCAAAAACTATGAAATTGAGTTTTAATGCTTGCTAAAGCTCTTCCTACTCCCAAGTGACTGGCCTGGCAGAGAGTTCAAATCTCCTGTTTTCATCTCCCCTCTTATTTTCCTCTTTCCTCTTTCTTTCTGTGGAGCAACCAATAAAACCATCCACTTGCCTCCTGCAGATAATCCACCAAAACCTGTACCCCTCAAATGTTAGTTTCTACCCCCAAGCAATTATCAAAGAATTTTTCCAACAAAGACACCACTCCCTTTCTAAGAGGATTTTTGATGAATAAAATTCCCTCTTTCCCATCATATATTTTCTCAAGAAAAATATTTGCAGAATCTTGTGTGTTTTGCTACAGGACTTCTGAGGGGTGGCAGGGGCTGGAGGTGAGGAGTGGTAAGTTGGGATCAGAAGGTAAAACGTGGTACGACTGTATTTTACTTAAGGCAGTTAGACCACATCTGACTTCCAGGCTAGTCCCAGTCTCTTGGAGGGTTGTTAGAAATTTTCTTTAAAGCTCCACTGGTGCTAATGCCTATAGAATTTCTGGGTCTAGTTAGGCAGCGGCATCCTACCCCACCCACCCCCCATGCGTTGGTTCAAATTCCATAGTTACTCTGAAAGCAGGTGGGATTCTCACTATAGGGATTTGATCACATTTGTTCACCCTTAGAGTCAGGGCTGACCTCTGGACCCACATTGATTACAGAAACCCCTCCTACTACTTTAATATTGGGGTGTAGGTCAACCAAGGAGAGAGGGCAGAGCTATGGTATCTACCAAACGTTTTTGCTTATGGGGCCAGGAGAGCCTGACACTGTGACTTCTCTCCTGTTTCTGGATCTTAATTTCTTGAGTTCTTTTCATTCCTCCAAAAAATACCTATCCTCACAAGGGCCAGAACAGATGGAAGCGTTTCTCTTCTCAGCCCCCAACCCCATGTAGTGCTATGGGTTTTAAACCTGTCTCTAGTGGCTGCTAGATTGCAGGGGGCAAATGTGTGAGATATTACTGATCTTTTGTTTAGGACCTGGCTTCCCAACTAGATAAAAACTCAATAGTCATTGTTTGTGTTTAGGCCTAGGGATTTTTCTGGTGTGTTCTCTGACCCAAAGTAACTCACTTACCCCCTAGCCTGGGGGTGTTGGTAGTTGGGTGAACGACTGTGAACTATCTGTACTTGGGTGGCTGAGCTCTGCACACTCCTCACAGTTACACGGGTACCTTCACCTCTAACCCCAAATAATCAGTCTTCTGTCTTCCTCCCTTTGAATAACTTCTTTAAAAGCAAGGAGTAGGAGGATAATCCAGATTTTCACAGGAAGTTCTGAGCTTCTCCTGTAATGTTTTGCTTTAAATTCCTCCTACAACAGCTTACCTCCAACAAGCCTGATTTTTCCACACTACTTTCCAATAGCAATGTGGGGATGCTTTGTGGCAAAAGCCTCTTAAGTTTTAACATAAATGCAAAGGTCACTTCTTCCAGCTGTTATATTGCCTAAATTCTGATTTACAAATTCAGACATTTACTACACTGTCAAGCATGATTGCCATTAACAATGCCATTGTTAAGCATTCAGCTACCCAGTGTATCCTAGGGATGCACTGGCAACTTTGCAATCATATAAATTCTTAAATCTAGATCCTGTAAACTTTTAATTAATCGTTGTCTAATTCCAACTGTTATTCCTCTAATATTTCAGGGAATGTGAAAATCCTTTTTCTGCATTACCCAAAAATGTCTTTATTTCTCGTGGCATGCAGCGTTCACTAGGGGTCATAATAGGCAGTCCCCAGTTCAGATCTTTGAGGGACCCTGACTCAGTAGAAGAAACAATCATAATAGGAATCTTTCATTAGCCCTTTACAAAGTTGTAAGTTCAGGACTTCTTTTGTGTTGCTGCTTTTAATATTTTTTTCTTTATCACTATATTTTGCAAATTTAATTACAACGTCTTGGTGTTGGCCTGTGTTTGTTGATTTTGATGGGAGTTCTCTGTGCCTCCTACAACTAGATATCTGTTTCCTTCCCTAGGTTAGGGAAATTTTCAGCTATTATGTCTTCACATAAATTTTCTGCCCTGTTTTTTCTCTTCTTCTTTTGGGACTC